ATGTAGTTGATGACAATCGAGATAGTAAAACTGTATTATCAGCAACAAAGCTGATTGGATTAGGAAAAAATTCCTCGAACATTGAAATCAACACCGATTCCAAAAATAGCTTTGAAGACGAAAGTGAATCGAAATCGTCTTCTGAGTCCAAACCAGTGAGACAAAGAAGGAAAGATGCTCAAAGTGGCCCTTTTATGTGTCCGTTTTGTGAGAAAATCCTGAAGAATCATAAATCATTGAGCATACACCGATTAAGATGTTCACAAAACCCAGAGAAAAAGAACATAGCTTGCCGAATTTGTTGCAAAGTGGTAAAAGAAGACCGTTTGGAAAGTCATATGGAATGTCACGAACCTCGGGAAGGGAAATACCAGTGTGACATATGCAGTAAGGTGTTTTTGAGAGAACGATATGTCCAACGACACAAGAAGCAAGTTCACGATACTGATGGGACATCGAAACAGTCGATATGTCCCATCTGCGGATTGATTTTTAAGTCAACAGCATCTTGCAATTTACATGTTAAAAGACATGATAAAAAAGAGTTCAAGTGCGACATATGCGAAAAGACGTATAAAGATAAATCCACGCTACAAGAACATCTGAATATTCATTTTGATGTCAAGCCTTACAAATGTGACCATTGCGATGAGTACTTTCATTCATCCCATAAAAGGAGTAATCACGTGTATCAACGTCATGTACCGAAGCGATTTCAATGCAATGTGTGTACAGAAACTTTTAAAAGTAAAAGATACATGCAAGCGCATGTGCGTATCCATACAGGCGAATTACCATTCGTGTGTAGTTACTGTAATAAAGGTTTCCGTTCTAAAGAAATACTACGGTTGCATACTAAAATTCACAAGGAAGTTTTTGATCATGTCTGTCCGATATGTAACAAGGGATTTGTACAGAGATGTAATATGATAGCTCATTCGAAAACACATTTTAAAAAACATCAACAAACTAGTATGAATTCGGAAGGGGATCAGTGAAACGAAAACACATTTTAAAAGACATCAACAAACTAGTATAAATTCGGAAGTTGATCAGTGAAAGTTTATTGCTGCTTGGATCCTTCTTTGTTCTACCTACCAGAGCACTCCTTTCAGTTAAATGTCTCGGTCTTGACAGACTGGCATTCAAAATGTCTTGTTGGAGAATTTGCCTGCCAGTTAATGTACATGATCAGATCTGTATGTTAAGGCCATCTGCAGATTTTCTCAACATCACCAGATGTAAACATGATAAGGGCACATGATTGTTACCAAGTATCATGGGTTAGGGTTAGCGCTAGCCCTGTTTACATCTCCCGAAATCTGCAGGTGGCCTTAATATTTAGATTTAACGAATTTAGATGCAGTAAAATCAGAATTTCAATGAATTTACTCATACAATACAATCAAATTTATTAAAATGTGGGATAATGCTAAAATGTGTGGATTTCTTTTGAAAATAATATATTTCTAATCTGAAATAAACACAATAGGTCAAAAGTTGACAAAATTTACAAAATATTTAAAAATTAATGATTCTCAGCAGCAGGGGGGTTGGATGGTTGAATGGTTAGCGTGCGTGCGCTGTATTATAATGTCTGTCATTGAGTCGACTGCCGTGATTTCGAATCACCGGTTGTACATGACAAGGAGTAGGGTCACCTGTCCAACCTCGTGGGTTTTCTCCTGGTCCTCCGGTTTCCTCCCACTGCTAAAGACCCCTATGTGCAAGCGAATTATTGAACCATATGTTAGTCTCGAAATGACCTAGTTTGTGTCGAGTGGACATTAAACCCCATTTCTCTCTCTCTTGTCATCAGTAGTTAATACTGTAAGGAAACGCCCCTAAAATCAAAATTTATATTACTTGTTTGTCAATCCTATCGAGGGGAATGATTTCATCATTATTTTCCGGTGTGGTTCCCCCTTGTCAGTGGTGTAGGCCTGGCAAGGGCCAAGTCATAAACACATTGGCATGAATGTAAAAAAAACCTTAATAGTTGGAATTTTAAAAAAGAGTAGGCCATAGTGCCGTTTTCCGGGCAGAATTTACCTCATAGCATACTGTAGGACATTAATAACCCCCACCCCACCCCACCCCCACCCCCATTTCATTTCTTTTAAATTTATAGTTTGTTTCCTGGCAACTCATGTTTTGTGTAAATGTTTGCTCCTATTGCATCATGGACTCTAGAAATTAATACAAATTCTGAAAATGTTTCTGGTGTTTGTCTGTGGATGCCAGAGTCCTATTATGGCATTTACTGCCAAAATATCTCCATGGTAACACAGTGTATGATCATAAGTCTGTACCTGTATGAGGGGTACTTCTTCAATCATGTATTACTCATAAAAGATGGCGATCACGTAATCATGGACATACATGTATTCATGATAGAGTAATCCGTATTTCAAGCTGTTTAAAAGTCGAGAGCGAGACATTGCTTCATATATAGATACGACACTCAAGATGAAGTCCTCGTGCAGCACTTAATGCTTTGCTCTCAATGTTGAAACTATACTATGGCGATCATGTAGTCATGGAAATACATGTATTCATGATAAAGTAATCCGTATTTTGAGTGGTTTAAAGGTCGAGAGCACGACGTTGCTTAAACATACATTACGCAAGAGCTAAATCTGCCTATAGCAGGTCTTTCTTTAGGCCAGAAATTTTTTCTAAATTATTAATTAGACATTAAACATACATTATGCAAGAGCTAAATCTGTCTATTTCAGGTCTTTCTTTAGACCTGAAATGTTATCTAAATTATTAATTAGACATTAATTAACTTATCCAGACCATAATCAACTCTAGATGGCAGCGCTAGCCTGCGATCTTTAGTGGATTGTAAGCCGATTTACTGCATAACTTTCCTTCTCTAGTAAACGATTAAATGGATAATCGAGACTATGCTGTTTATCGTACTGACTTTAGTAATGATGACCGAGGCTTATGGGAATTTCAGTCGCTTAGTTCTCGGTTCATAGTGGTTCAATTTGAATGAAATTTTAACTATTATAGTGAGAACTGCCAACTCGTTACCGAATCTCCCATAATGTATCTTTAATTAACTTATCCAGGCAATAATCAACTCACGATGGCATCAGATTTCTCCGATATTAAATAGATTAGAACGATTCAGCTATATTTGGTTGAAATTATTGCACATGTGTATAGCCAAACCTTCAAAGGCTAATATCTTCGCTCGCAATAAAGTAATTTGATTGAAATTTTCAAATTATTAATTTTACATTATCTATTTTCGAACTATTATAGCAAGAATGGCTAGCTCTTTACCTAAATCTTACATAATGTATCTTTAAATACATTAAAGTAGCTAAGTCTCTAACTCAATATCATCCAAAATCTTCAACATTGAAAACACGATTTATTTGTCAAATTAAATCAACATTCATGTTGTGATCTTACCGGGAAAAGATGGGCTTTTGATATCCAATATTTAAGACAAAATACAAATTTTACCATTGGTACACAAATCGTGTACCATAATGCGCTTCAGCCCCAGTTGCATTGAGAGACTCGAGGGACGAGTCTAGACACATTGCACCAATTCAAACGGCGTATGTAGACTGGAATAACCAGACGCTAGAAATTTGCGCTCGCTTGAGACTGCTGGCTTATTTCACCGAACATAACTGATTTGAAATTGGAGTAAAAACGGAAACCATTGAATGTAAATCAGTTTATATACATTCATATTACAGTATTATATGCTTTGCGACCTACTTTTGTCGATTTCTAGGTCCCAAATGTTAGCGATTTAGCTCCTTTAATACATGTATATAGATGCAACACTCGAGCTGAAGTTCTCGTGCAGCATTACTTAATGTCTGCGCTGAATGTTTAAACTATACTGAAACATGTGTGATCTGTGATAAAAGCTTGTAGTAGTAATAGCAGGTGGTTGAACACCTGTTTTCACAGTAGTCATATCGCAGACAAGAACTAGAAGTAGAACCTTACTCCTTTATTTTACCGGGGTGGCTTGGTAGTTAGTGCATGCGCGTTGTATCATATGGTCTGTCATTGAGCAAGGGGTTGGATTTTTGAATGGCTAGCACATATGTGTTGTATCATAAGGATTTTACGGCGTGGTTTCCCCTTGTCGGTGGTGCAGGATGGAGAGTCTGGCAAGGGATAGTGTCAGGTCATTCGACTCATTCGAATGGTATGATGAATAAATTAGGTCTCAGGATTTTCTGGCATGGTTTCCTCTTGTCAGTGGTACAGGACAGAGAGACCAGCAATAATGAACAGTGTCTAATTATTAAGATGTGACAAAAAAAGCAAGGTCTTGTTTACACTGTCATGTCAGTTGGAATTCAAAATAATAAATGTAGGCAGTAGTGCCCTCCTGTCCATGCAAAATTTCCCTCCTAGCACACTGCATGCCATATGTCCGTCTCGCCTCTAGGACAATTCTTCCCTGAACAATTCGTCACCGGACAATTCGTTCCCAGATAACTCGTCCCTGAGGACAATTCGTCACCGGACAATTCTTTCCCAGACAACTCGTCCCTGAGGACAATTCGTCACCTAGGACTAGGACAATTTGTCCCTGAACAACAATACTGGTAGTTCCATTATCAAAAACTAGGCCTCAACTTAATGGTTCCTGAAGTTTTTTCGAGCTAATTGATATGCATGTAGTTATCAGCTATGATCAGTGACACTTTTTGTGAGTTAGAGAATCTATTTATCCCTTCACTATGGGTATTGTCCATTGTCAATACTGCACTTGACTAAAATCAATATGCATTATTGTGTATGATAAAACAATGTAGACCAGACATCAGTTAGAATTAGCTGTGGATCATAATTAGGGGACAAATCATTCTTGAGGACGAATTATCTGGGGACGAATAGTCCTAGGGGACAAATTGTCCGGGAACGAGTTGTCCATACCCATCCGTCTCTATAGCCCGGTTTCATTGCTTTTTAATTGTTTACGAAAATATTTCATTTCTTGTTGATAGGTAGGAGGCAAGGATGATGTTGAAGTAAGGGGAATGTCTGCAAACATTCAAAGGATATCTGAAGACATTCGCACCAATTTTGGACAGATGTCTGTAGAACCCACAATTATTAAAAATTCAACCCAACAAACCATTGAAAATCAAATTGAAGAAAAACCAATAATTAGTGAAGAATGCCTTAATGGAGATGGTGGATCCACGCACAAGGAATCCACTAATCTGATTGGAAATCCATTTAAAGATTTGAACATATTCGGTAGTGATTCTGCACAAAAGGAACAGATCAAATCCGTAAGAATGGAACCGATCAATGCAATTGGAAATCCATTTGAAGATTCGAACATAATTTGTGGGGAATCGACGCAGAAGGAACAGATCAAATCCATAAAAATGGGACCAATCAGTGTGATCGGAAATCCTTTTGGAGAATCAATAAGTGAAGGAGATATCAATAGTATCTATGGTGAATCCACATTAAAAGAGGAGATCAAATCCACAACAGAACAAATCAATGTGATTGGAAATCCATTTGAAGAATCGATGGCTGAAGCAGATTTGAACAGAATTTGTGATGAATCTACTCAAAATGATGAGATGTCATCTACAAAGACAGAACCCATCAGCGTGTCTAAAAATCGATTTGCAGGCCTAATCAGTGAGGCCGTTTTGAACAGAATATGTCGCACACCTGCCCAAAAGAAAGCGATAAAATTGTATAAGATGAGTGGATGTGTTAAGATTAGAATACCACATGCAAAAAGTAAATATGACCTTCCTGAAATGGATGAACTCCTGTCAACTGTTGTAGAAAACAAATCGACCGATAACCCCGACCATATTAGTTGTCCCCTTTGTGGGGATTCATTCAAGAACGAAGACATAATGGAGGGACATAGGTGTAGAAGGAAAAAGAAGATTATTGAATATAAATGTGACAAGTGTGAGAAAATTTATACAGATCTAAAAAGTTTTCATAAACATTTCAAACTTGAATTTCATTTTTTCCGTTTCAAATGCGACATTTGTGATGTGATATGTAAAGAACTTAAAGAGGTTACCGAACATGTTAAAGTTCACAGGGAAGGTCCTCCCTATACTTGCAACCAATGTGATAAAACATTTAGAGTTAAAAATGCTCTGCAGAGACATCAATATTTGCACACAGGAGTTAAGCCCCCTTACGGATGTGACCAGTGTGATAAAGCCTATCACAACAAGGAATCTTTGAAGGAGCATGTTCAAGTGGCCCACAGTGGGATAACACCTTTCAAATGTTCTGAATGTGAAGAGTCCTTTGCTTCAAAGCGTGTAAGGAGTATTCACTATTCTAAAGAACATGAACAGAAAGAACCAAGGTTTTCATGCGATCATTGCAACAAGAAATTTATGTCCGGACTGCTTCGTCTCAATCACAAGTGTGAGAACCACAAGTATGACTGTAAGATTTGTGGCGAAATATTCCAATCATTCCGGGGACTAGGTAGTCATCAACAAAAGCACAGCGGTCGACCCAGAAAGGATCCCAAAAACAAGAAAGATTATGGTGTTGGCACGCTTATATGTCCCATTTGTGGTGTATTATACAAAACCGAGAAGACTTTGGCCACACATATAAAACGACATGAAGAGTTGCCTGACGGATATAAATGTGATCAATGTGAGAAAAAATTCCCAATTCGATCGAAGTTGCAGGAACATTTAAATGTACACAATGGAGTTAATCCATTCAAATGTGACCAATGTGACGCATGCTTTCCTTCAGTTGGCAAAAGATGTAGGCATATTTTGACGTACCATGTTCCCCCTAGATTTACGTGTGATGTTTGCGGTAAGAGTTACAAGACCAATAGAAAGCTTACGATCCACTACCGGAGTCATACCGGTGAGAGACCTTTCGTGTGTGAAGTCTGCAGCAAAGCTTTCAGTTCAAAGGAGCTCCTGCGCATCCATGATAAAAGCCACAAAGGTATACGCGATTTTGTCTGTCCTGTGTGTAACAAAGCCTTTGTTCAACTAACCAATATGAAATCACACCACAGATTACATTGGAGACCCAAAATTAAATGGACAAGAAAAAGGAAAGTGAAAGTTGAACCTGTCAATCAAACGAAAGTGGAGCCTATCAATCAAGTGAAAGTTCAACTTATTGATAAAGACAAATTTATGAATGAAGGGAAAGTTGAATTTATCAAGGAAAGAAAAGATGAAATTATCAAGGAAAGAAAAGATGAAATTATCAATGATGGGAAAGTTGATCTTACTCCGCATGGCGTAAAAGTTGAATTTATCAACCAATAGAATATGTACAAAATAAACTAACAAAGAGGGGGTGGATGGCCGAATGGTTAGCATGTGCACGCTGTATCATAAGGTCTGTCATTGAGTCCGCTGGCGTGGTTTCGATTTCCCGGTTGTAAGTGACAAGGAGTAGGGTCCCCTGTCCAACCTCGTGAGTTTCTCCAACCTCTGGAAAATCCGGTTTCCTCCCACTGCTAAAGACCCCTTACACCCAAGCGAATTGAACCATGTGTTAGTCTCTCTACTGATTTTTATATGTGGTCATATATTGTTGTCAGCCCTGTCCATCTGTCATCCACAATTGCTTGTGGTGGACGTTCGAGGCTAAAGTTATTATCTGAATTACTTGAAATGTTATATACAGTGTTTAAAGTTCATGAGACGAAAACGCCTATTTGTTTCAATAATTCCAAAATATACTGTCAGTCAGAGTTATAGCCCTTGATGTTGTGGATGCCCTAAAGATTAAAATTATTATTCCAGTTGAAATTTATACATGCCTATTGGTCTTTCCAATTTTCTTTTTGAAATTGGGGGGTTGGATGGCTTAGTGGTTAGCATGTGCGCGCTGTATCATTAAGTCTGTCATTGAGTCAACTGGTGTGGTTTCGAATCCCTGGTTGTACGTGACAAGGACCCCTACGCGCAAGCGAATTATGGAAATAAAGTTGGACCATATGTTAGTCCCGAAATGACCTAGTTTTTGAAATTCATATGGTTTGTCGCGCATTGAATGGATGTCCTCACTGAAGGAATTCCCACCAGGCTTCGCTAGTAAAAACACGGTTCCACATGACCTTATCAATGGTAACAGAACCACGTTTCGAAGTGTCGTGATTAAATTCCATTTTAACGACAAAAACTAAGGTGTGGCCACACACCAGTTCATAATGAATGTATCAGAAAACAATGCTGTAAGGTAAACAATGAGGTCATGTAGGACCTCCTCCTCTTATGTGGCCACTATAAATCATGCACCCTTGTCTCTAGCGAGGACGGCCATTGAAGAAGCATGTTTATTTTCTGTTTGAAATTTATGTAGTTTGTCTATATTATCGAAATGAAGAATTCAATTGATTTTCAAGATTTTTCATTAACCTCCAGAGATTTGGCCCTTTTGTTACAAAATCTTAGGCTTCAATTATGATCTCAGTTTCTGTATGATATACATTTCCCGTTAAAATGAAGAAGCCTATTGATTGGTTTTCATTGATTTCCAACATGAGATGTATTCCATTTGTTACGAAGTCTTGTTACCTCCTTAAAGGGTTTGATTATGGCCTAATCTTTTTTGATTAGTTCATAACTGATAGGATGATACATGTATATACTACAGTGCACTCTGTCACATCCGACCTCTGATCACTCCGGCACTCTGTTACATCCGACACCATTTTCATGTCCCGATTTATTACTTCAGCCAAAAAAATCTCTGGGTAATTCGACCTCTGTACGTTCCGGATTACGACATCAGTCAGCCGTCCCGTCATACGATTTCCATAGAATCGACACCGTATAATCCGACTTCAATCGGTGGGTGTGAAGCAAACACTTGCCGATCAATTATCCGTGAGATTAAAACTGGATGGGTGTGAAGCCACAAAACATTAACAAGCAATCACCAATCAATTATCTGTGAGATTAAAACTCGCTACCGTGGGTCTTTGTTGATTACTTTGATAATTTTAATCTCTTGTACGGCAGTTGTGACAAATACTCAAGAATATCCACAAATTTTCCCCCGAATTCACAGTCGTAAAAATATTCTTAGCACCTGTTGGAAACATTCGTTGTGCATGCCGATTGAATCTGAATAACCTATTAGTTTGGTCACCCTACGGATCTCTTCGAACCAGGTGACGACGACCTGGGGATGCTCGATTCACAGTCCGAAAAATCCCGAATTGACAGAATTGCAATCGAGTGACGCGGAATTCAATTCCGGAACGTTCAATCGAGTACGCCCATTATCAATGAACACGTGATAGCAAAGACAAAAGTGCGATCAATTGAAGACGGCGAATTAGATAAATTAATGACAGACTTGACCTATTCAAAATGCCTACGCATGTTAAATGAAATAAAAATTAATGTAATAAAATTTTGAATGTACAGAAAGGTTTATCATTTTTAAAGGGAATAAAATTCTGGTGATTCGAAGTTCTATGTTCAAAGCTACATTATAATAATACTTCCGGTTTTCGAAGTTACAATATTTCCAGTTTTGAGAAAACTGGGTATTCCGACATTCTGCGTAATCTGACATATTGTAAGGATCCCGTATGATGTCGGATGTGACAGAGTGCACTGTACTTGCTGGCTGATGTATATTTTGATGCCTGGCAACCTATTTGTTATTTCTTTAGTTATCTATGTTAATGCTTCTGATCAGTACATACCATATTAACACCAATAGTGTGTAGTATTATTGTCTATAGAATTCATTTTTAGAAAATACCCGAAGAGAATATGGGGAACACTATAGTACAGCGTTATGACGTCATTTTAGTGTTGTTAAGATGTAAAAATCAACGTTATGATAACGTTAAATTCATGTTGTTAAGATATAAAAAATAAACGTTATGATAACGTTAAATTTATGTAGTTAAGATATAAAAAAATCAACGTTGTGATAACGTTAAATTTATGTCGTATGTTTGTTGGGTATTTTGTGTAAAACTGAGTAAACATGCATTTATATGGGAATCGGGATTTAGCCACTGATTGTGTTTTATGTACATGTAGTAGTTTGATTGAAATAAAAGCATGTATCTTAAATTTACGCATCTTAAAATTAACATATTTCTCAAATCAGGGGGTTAAATAGCTGAATGGTCGCCTGTCCAACCTAGTGGGTTTTCTCTGGGTCCTCCATTTTCCTTTCCAAGTGAATTATTGAAATAAAATTGAACCATATATTAGTCCCGAAATTAGTCAAAACCCAATTTTCGATCATAGCCAAATTGTGCCTTCGACATGTACATGTAACTATTAACTTCGATTCCCCCTTGTCAGTGATGCAGGACGGAGGGCCTGAGTGACAAGGACAGCTGTCTAGTCTTTCGGATGAGACGTAAAAGATCCCTTGGCAGTTGGAATTCGATATAAGTGTAGGCGATAGTGCCGCTACCCGGGCAAAATTTCCCTCATAGCACACTGTATGGCGTATGCCCGTCTTCATTAGCCCAGTATAGGAGCAGAACAGTAGGACGTTAAACCCCATTTCATTTCATTTCATTAACTTCGACATGTATAGATTAGGGCACCCATACATGTATAGAAACCATGTCAGCAGATGATTTCTCTTTTCGTCCTTATGATTTTAAACTAGCCTCTCTCAACATGCAGTGGCAGTGCCAGCCTCCCCACAACCTCCAATGCCGAAAAGGAAAATATTTGTGATATGGTTATCGATACCTTCTACGGTTATTAAATCCCACATCACCACTCAGCCATAGACTTGCATGTTGTAGAGTCAGAGCGGTTTCTTACCAAACCCATCTTCCTGTGCAAACACACTTGAGATGTGCCTTTTTACGATCCTCATAGTCTTGGGGTATAGGATAGGTTCAATGTGGCGAGAGGGGGGTTATTGGATGGCCGAATGGTTAGCGCATGGGCCCTGTTTCATCAGGTCTCATTGAGTCGACTGGCATGGTTTCGATTCCCAGGTTGTACGTGACAAGGAGTAGGGTCGCCTGTCCAACCTCGTGGGTTTTCTCCAGGTCCTCCGATTTCCTCCCACTGCTAAAGACGCCCATGCGCAAGCGAATTATTGAAATAAAATTGAACCATATGTTAGTCCCGAAATGGCCTAGTTTGTTTCGAGTGGACGTTAAACCCCATTTCTCTCTCTCCCCTTTTGTTACGGAATCTTATTGGCATTTCTATAGACTGCAATTGTTTTCGGGTTTATTGAGAACATATTCCATTTCTTGTTAATAGGTAGGTCACAAAAATGAAGCTCAGTGTGAACAAAATGAAGAATTTATATTGATATCTGAAGACACAGTCATCAGCATTGAAAATCTTTCAACAGAACCCAGCAATGTAATTGGAAATCCAATTGACGAAATAAAAACCAGGGTCAACAGTTTAAGTGGAAAACAAACAACCAGTGACGTAGATTTGAAGAGCATCGGGGGTGCATATACACAAACCGGAGGGGTAAATTCAATTGATGAAAGAATCAGGGAAGCGGATTTGAACAGATTTGGGGGGGCATCTACACATACCGGAGAAGAAAGTACTTTTGAATCTAAACAAAAGAAATGGATAAATTTTACGAAGATGGCTGACAATTCTGTGCTAAAAGGTATAGTGATTGCCGATGAAAAGTTTTCTGAAGGGAGATCACCATGCGAAAAAACAAATCCAAGTGTTAGTTTTAAATGGGATATCCTACAATCAACACAGAAAGACACCTCTATAAAAAACAACGCGAATGACACTAAACTTTTAAATTGTCGATTTTGTGGTGCTTTTTTCAAGGACAGGGAATCACTCGGAGGACACATCACGCGACACGAGAATATTGAATATAAATGTAAGCAGTGTGACAAATCATATAAAAGTAAACAAAGGCCCCAGGAACATTCAAATATCCACAAGGGAGTTAACTCCTATAAATGTGATCGTTGTGATGCGTCCTTTCCTTCATCATCTAAAAGAAGCCAGCACGTTTATGTGCATCATGTCCCACCACGGTTTTCATGCGATACTTGTGGCAAGAGCTATAAGACTAAGAGAAAGCTGACGGTTCATTACCGTAGCCATACCGGTGAAAAACCATACGTGTGTGAAGTTTGTAGCAAAGCATTCAGTTCAAATGAATCGTTAATAAAACATGTCAAAATACACAGTGATCTGTCAACACCTCAAGGAAATCACGTCTGTCACCTTTGTGGGCAGACATACCGATTGAAGCATTTGTTGAACGCGCATTTAAAACGTCATGAAAATACGGAATACCGGTGTTACCATTGTGATAAAACGTACAGAGACAAATCGAGATTACAAGCTCACGTGAACACACACATGGGTGTTAAACCATACAAATGTTCATCTTGCGAGGAATCATTTGCTTCAGCACAGTTAAGAAGTGCTCATAATTTCCAACGGCATGTCCCACCACGGTTTTCTTGCGATATTTGTAACAAAAGCTATAAGACTAAAAGAAAGCTTACGGTTCATTACCGTAGTCATACAGGTCAGAAACCATATGTGTGTAAAGTTTGCAGCAAAGCGTTCAGTTCAAATGAATCGCTAATCGGACACAATAAAACTCACAGCGATGTGCCCGATCACAATTGTCCCGTGTGTAACAAGGGTTTTACTCAAAAATCCAATATGTTAGCACATAATAAAATCCATTTGAAAACAAAACAACTAACTCGATCATCTAAAAGAACTAAAGTGTAAGTTGAATATATATTTTAACTGATAGATTTATATTATTCCTTAAACATACATTAAGCAAGAGCTAAATCTGCCTGTTGCAGATCTTTCTTTAGGCCAGAAATGTTATCTGAACTATTAATTAGATATTTATTAACAAAACAAGACCATAATCGACTCTCGATGGCATCGAATACTCAAGATTTTAACTAGATTAAAACGGTTCGTCATTTAAAAATTTAATTTAAAAATGGGAAAGCGAGGCTACGTCACGATTATATCAGTGCCCTGGTTACCACTGTGCACACATCTTGTCAAAACTACAAATAGTGATTACTTGGCTGAGAATGAAGTAATTTGAATGAAATTTTCAATATTTTCTTTTTTTATCATCTATTTTTGAATTATTATAGCAAGAATGACCAACGCTTTAATATGAACAATTCATTATCGTAGGTCTTCACATTGATTTCAAATCTTCTATCAATTATTATTCAAAAATTTATTAACATCAGATGGCTCCGATTTTATGTAGATTAGAACGCTTCGGACATTTAATGATTTGATTATGGAGAAGCTAGGCTAAGTCTCGAATAACAAGTGCCGGTGTCACGAGAATAAACAATCAATGCACATATCTTGTCAAAACTACAAACAGTGATAACTTCGCTCAAAATAAAGTAATTTGAATGAAATTTTCAATGTACTCATTATTTTTAAGTATTATAGCGAGACCTGTTGGCTCTTTATCTAAAACTAGATGAGGTAAAGGGAATAAGCTGAAAATTTCAGCCAAATTGCTTCACTCAATGCTTATTTTAAAATCACTGTAGCCTCGATTGTCATTGTTACCGCTGTCACGATAATTAACAAAGTGTCGATTATCCATTTTTGCAGTTGAACATCAGATCGGATTCAAATCTAATGGAAATCTGACACATAAGATGGGATCAAGAGTTAATTATGGTCTTGTCATGTTAATAACTATCTAATTAATAGTTTTGATAACATTTCAGGCCTAAAGAAAGACCTGCAATAGGCAGATTTAGCTCTTGCATAATGTATGTTTAAATATCAATCGGCCAAGACTTGCAAATATGACCCAAATGAAATCTCTGATAGACAGCCATGTGCTTTTTATATTCTTATGATAATTTTGTGTTTATTAAGAAATATTCCATTTCTTGTTGATAGGTAGGACATACAGTTGAAGTAATTGAAGAATTTCCATTGATATCCGAAGGTGCCACCTTTCACATTAGTAATGTACACGTATCTGTCGACCCCATCATGGTGGTTGGAAGTTCACCTCAGGAAATGAAAGTCGGTGTTGAAAATTTAACAGGAGAAAAGGGAACACCCATAAGAATCCGTGGTGAATTTACACAAACGAAAAGGAGAAAACATACAAAGAAGGCTGATAGTCATGCAAGTGGTAGTGCTACAGACCCCGAAAAGGACAACTCTGTATCAACAGATCTAAAAGGATACAGACCACCAAATTTTATAAAAAGCAGACCGACAAATAATGGCTTTAAGTTTATATGTCATATTTGTGGAAATTCATTCGAGCACAGCTATTTACTCACAGCGCATTTAAAACGTCATGAACATATGGAATACCGGTGTGACCAATGTGATAAAGTTTACAAAGACAAGACAAGCTTGAAACAGCATATTAACGGGCACAAGGGTGTTACGCCATACAAATGTTCATCTTGTGACGAATCATTTTCTTCAGCACAGTTAAGAAGTGCTCATAATTTCCAACGGCATGTCCCACCACGATATTGCTGTGATGTTTGTGGAAAGAGATATCGAAGAAAGCGTGAATATGTGGTTCACTGTCATACTCATACCGGTGAGAAGCCATTCGAGTGTGATATCTGTCAGAAAGCCTTCAGTTCGAATATATTTTTAATAAGACATAGAAAAACACACATTGGTGCATTAAAACTCAAAGTTGATGGATTAAAATCAGAAGTTGATGAATTAAAACCTGACTTTGCTACATTACAACCCCACGTCTGTCATGTTTGTGGTCTAGTTTTTAAATTCAAGCACATTTTACAAGCACATTTGAAGCGACACAATAATACGGAATACCGATGTGACTATTGTGACAAGACGTACAAAGATAAACAGAATTTACAAGCACATTTAAACGTCCACATGGGTGTTAAACCATACAAATGCTCAAAATGTGACGAATCTTTTGTTTCAGCACATCTTAGAATCACTCACAATATTCGACGTCACATGCCACCACGATTTGCTTGTAATTTGTGCGACAAGAGCTATCTGGAAAAAAGAAGGCTTGCAGTTCACTACCGTAGTCATACTGGTGAAAAACCATACGTGTGCCATGTCTGTAGCAAGGC